ACACATCTGTTTGGTAATTTGCCTTTACCAGCTGCAAAGCGAACTAATACCAGTCCTAACAAACACTCTACATTTCATTGTGATAGCGCAGTCTACATGAGGAATTAAGTGCAGTAATTTCTGCAGTTCCACCTCTGAGATGGATTTTAGAAAAGGGTGTGGTTCCTTATAATTAAGGGTGATACGCTGAGCCAAAACTGAGAGACAGGTTCCCCATGTACAAGGATGACCTTCAGCACAAAGGCAAATACATGCTCTTGGTTTTTATGAGTCCTGCTCACAGTGTGGGACACCATTCTTTTAGATTTAAAAGACAGATTTTTTTATTTTTTTAAGCAACTAAAATTAGGATAAAGTGCTGTCCAAGCTCTTAAAAATCCTGTAGCATTATTACACTGATGTTCTTATACATGCTTTACTTTCTCTTTATTTTTTAAAGTGTGAAATGTTTTCAAATACAAAAGTAAAACTATATTTTAACAACTGTAAATACACTGGACTTCAATGGATAAGCCCTTTTGTGTGGCTATTATGCCATTTAGTGTGTTCCTTGTTTCATAGATGAAACCAGTGAATTTTTGTTTCACATCAAAATTAAATAAGTCAGTAATGTGTTGTCTTATGTACCTTTCCAATAACTACCCACAACAAACATTGTTAAATAAAGGCATGTTAAGAGAGTGTTAGAATAAATAATTCTATCTCTATCTATTATCGTTCCATCTATTATACATGACTCAGGTATAGATTTTTTTCCTCAAGCCTTGACAGTTTTTCATCAGTAGTATTGGTATGAGTAGTTAACTCGGAAATCCACCATTTATATTTCCTATCACAGTGCACCAATAAACTGATGCATTTTCTGTTAAGGAAACTCTACATTTTTCTTACACAACTTCAACTGTAATGCTTAAACAGTAGGACAATTTTGGATATAATTATAACTCAACTTTTCACTCTGGAAGAAAACCCATGCTGTCTCGGTTATGAGTGGTTATGAGTAACTATCACAAAGTTGTGATTTTCAAGGGAATTAATAAGGTGATAAGAAATATTTGAGTCAGCTGGTCATATTTTGGTTCTCTCTCCTGCAGCTGTTATTGTGCCAAAGACCCCAAGTCTTCACCAGGGAAGACTCACATGCCCCAGGAACAGGTGAAAAAAAACTAAGTTTACAGTTCCTCTCTCTCTCTTTATATATATATATATATTTGGACATTGCACAGTTAAAAACAAAAGAAAACTACTTTAATTTGTCATGTACTGTCCTGTTGTCCAAGTACTTTTTCTTGGTTATATTAAAATATCCTGGCAATAGTAATGGTCTCTAAAAAGAAGAGAGTAGGTGAGTTGTGTTTAGTCTCTTTGCTAAGGAAATTAGGCAAAGCTAAAAAGATGTTTGGTGGCTAGTACTATAGCTGGGACCCTATATGTACTATTGATGAAGTTAGGTGCTGTTCTGAGCATTATTTGTGGCTATAGAGTGGCTTTTTGGTTGAGGTTTGTTTATAGCTCCTCAGACCGCTGTGTATATCTATCTTGCAGTCCTAACTAAAGTTGGTATAACTAGAGAAGCAAGCGGTCAAAATATGCCATATTTTGGTTCTCTCTCCCGCAGCTGTAATTGTGCCAAGGACCTTGAGTCTTCAGCAGGGAAGACTCGTATGCCCCAGGAATGGGCGGAAAAGAGACTAACTTTACAGTTTCTTTTTTATGGTCCCCTCGTGGCACTTTTTTCCCTCCATTTGGACAGTGCAAAGTTAAAAATAAAAGAAAACTACTTCAATTTGTCATGTATTGTCCTGTTGTCCAAGTACTTTTTCTTGGGTATATAATTCCGGGTAAAAATCACCCGGCGATAGTGATGGTGTTACTAATTTTAGCGTTAGTGTTCTAGAGTTAAGTCGACTTCTTTCAGTACCCTGAAATGTTTGTTTGTGTCCAGCTAAACATCTCGGGGACAGAGTTGTTTATTCTCACTTTTTTGGCAGTTGCGCTTTAATTAGACGTCATACAAATCCCTCATTGTGATTGGCCAAAGCGAATTCCCCCACGCCCCCATCCATACCGATTCAGCCTCTGATTGGCGCTCCTCGACATCAATTCCTCTCTTTATGCACCCAATGAAAAACGTTTCGTGGCATTTTTTCCCCTGCTTTGCGACCGCAATGCTACAAAGTTTACTGTAGCTAGTTCGTCTGAATGTTAACGGCGCAGTTTCTCATTTGTAACTCCTCCGTTGCGCCTAAAGAAGTTTTTGTTAGAATTCAGCGTCTATTTAAACCGCTGCGTGTTTGCTCTGGAGGAAGAAGGACTCAGCGGCTCGCTTTGGGAACACAAAGCAAAGCTGTGGGTTTATTAGAAGACCGTGTTTTTGCTGCTGTTTGATGGGAAGGAGGTTTTTGACACGCTAACCACCACGAGTGTCGCTCCCACGTTTTGTTTGTTGGTTATTAGTATTTATACACTGTAATATAACACCTCCATTTTGATTTTGTTGTTTTTTTTCTTAGCAAAATGATGCGTTTAATGTTAGAAGTTGGACTGTGACCCGCCCGTGGTGTTAAACTCAAAGTGGAAACAGACCCTCAAGCTCCAACGGACGATTTTGACGGTATTTTGGAGGAGCAACACTGAGAAAGAAAAACACGTTGTTTCAATAACAACATGCCCATAAGGCGTTTTGGGGGTCACAAGTCTCTGGTCTCTCACTCCCAAACTTCTAAGCTGTCGTATGGTTACACCAAGATGAATATTTCAAGAGGAGGATATCGTGTTTTCTCTGCTAACTCCACTACAGCATGCACAGAGCTGGCCAAGAAGATAACTGAGTAAGTGAGCTTCATGTTCAATACATGGAGACAAAATTACTGTGGTTTCAAAATGTACTGTGGTTCTTGTTAGCACACCTGGGGTTCAAACAGCTTCAGGAAGCCTCAGACTCATGGGTGTGAATGTTTTTCATTAGATTTAGTTTACTGAGGCAATGTTGAGAAATATAGAGAGGAAAATAGGAATTGAAAAGGTTAATCAGGGGATATAGTGTATGTGTTGTAGTTTTGGGTGACACAAAAGTAATATAATTTGTGTCTGTACAATAGTGCTCCGTGTATGCTAGTGAAGTTTTATTTTGCAAATCTGTTTGGTAATGTGTTACTGGTTAGATGTTTCATGCAACTTTACTTAAAGGGATATTCCGGCGTAAAATTAATTTAGGGTCAAACACACGTAACACTGAGTTAGACACTCCCCGACCGCTTGCTTCTCTAGTTATACCAACTTTAGTCACGACCGCACAATAGCAATACACAGCGGTCTGAGGAGCCATGAACAAACCTCGACCAAAACGCCACTCTATAACCACAAATAATGCTCAGAACAGCACCTAACTTCTTCAACAGTACATATAGGGTCCCAGCCACAGCACTAGCTATCAAACATCTTTTTAACTTTGCCTAATTTCTTCAGCAAAGAGACTTAACACAACTCACCTACTCTCTTCCAGCAGCCGCTTGTTTGTAGCGAGACCTCGGGCTGTCCATTACAGACTACAGTGGGGTGACGCAGCTCAAGGAAGAACATTTATAATCATTACTTTATCATTTCCATGAAGTAATAATCACCATATTAATCATTTTGCACTGCAGACGCGGTAGTTCCTCTGCCTTAGAGTCTTGGTCTGATTGCATTTCCATGAAGAAATCTCTGTATTACCCTTATGAAACCTATAACTTGCTGACCCAGATCACTGCAAACATCATTATTCTCTTTCATAGCTGGGTCATTGCATTTAATAAGTAGCCATGTTGTTCTGCCCTGCAGACTTGTCAGACAGCCAAGAAGAAGTTGCACTGCTTGCACAGAATAAAACAGCTTAGCTCTCTCAGTTTTTCTCTGTTTGGCAACATTTTAGAGCTTTTATTGGAAAGGTTGTGCTGCTGCACGTTTGCCAAGAATATATTTTGCGGAGCAAAGGTTGAAAAACATCCTAAGCACGTGGAACATGTTAATGAATAATGTTTTGAATGTTTACTCTGAGGTGCAAGTGTTGTCTGGGCTGCGTGTAAACAGCTCTGAAACTGACGTCATCTTTATTAATCTTTATTATATTATATTTTTAAATAAACAGCGTGATTTCTGACCAAGGCATGACTGTGTTCATGGTGTCTAGGCCTGTCCACAGTTTGACTTAATTCAACTAGTTAATCTACTATTAAAGGGGGTTAGAAGTGCTGTGTTTACAGTTTAGCAGCATTTAGTAGAACAGAAATTGTTGAGGTGGATCACAAGACTCATTTTTAGGTAATTTTGAATTAGTATATAATGACCTTAATGTAAAAGTCATTTTGTTTATTACCCTTGAAAGAGCTGTTTGTATTTATAGGGAAGCTGCCCTCTTCCACAGAACTGCTAAGTTTTTCAAAATAGCACAGAGCAGAAAAACTTGTGACATATGCGTCTTAAAATTTAGAAAGTGGCCACACATAATGCACCAGTTGGAAGAGGGAGAAGAGAGTGGTTGTTGCATGCAAAAGAATTTGTATTGATCATAACGTAAAAACTTGACAATACAGGACCATACTTGTCATGCATCACAGGAGCTTTTTGTCCCTGAAAGTCAATGTCGCTTCACAGATAGGGATGGGTTTTAATCTAGATTCTGACTGCTTGATATCCCCTCATATACTCTTATTTCTACAGTCTGCACCTATTTAAATGGTAGTAAGGCGGTTAAAACACAATGAAATGCTGTGATTGTCATTAGAACATGTGAGCAGTTATGTTTCATAGCTTATTTCCATTTGAATTGGATTATATATTTTTTCAATAGAAGGATTAATGCTTATTCAACATGTACAGACATTGAATTAAACCATTGTAGTACAAACTGGAGTATTTATACACATCAGTTGATTAAACACATAAAGGTGTGTGTTTATATGTGATTGTAACACAGTCTGCGGTCTGTTTTAACAATGTTTTTCCTAGACGCCTGGGTGTGGAGTTGGGCAAGTCAGTAGTTTACCAAGAGTCGAACAAAGGTACAGTACCGCTGATAGATTCAGCAAAGCACTTATTTAAAAAACATACCTCTTAACAAAGAACAATGCTTTATCTTTGACTCAGCTTTGTACTTTATTGTGTCTCCTTTTTCCTTTTTTTTAGAGACTAGGGTGGATGTCAAAGAGTCGGTCCGTGGACAAGACATTTTCATCATTCAGACCATTCCCAGGTAAAGTCTGGTACACAGTACAGTTAAAGAAAAAAAACAGACTTTAAAATCATCAGTGACCCCACTCATGGTCACAAATAAAGACAGATGTGGCCTTTTAGTTCCTACAGTGGGTGGTGTGCAACAATGTGGGGAACACAGTACACCTCATGTATTATCTATCATATCTGATCATGAATACTAGACATGTTTAGTATTTATGCAAGTTCAACCATCCTGGCAAGCAACTGACCACCAATATTTTTCTTTGTGTAGTTTAATACCTAGTGTGAGGGATTGCAGATTACAGTAGTAAAGAACTTTATATAGACATTCTTCAGATAGCAGATGTAAGTTTGTGATTTGACTTAAATTTGGCTGGATGAAAGGTATAACTTCAGGAGACCAATGAGACTTTATAGAAATATTAACAAGCTCAAATTTTAGGAACAGGGTGTCGGTCTTCAATAGATCTGGGTTTGAACCCCGTCATTGGACGCACTGTTGTTTTCTGTCTGCTTTGTCATTTCTGAATGCATAGATATGCTTCCACAAGTCAGATTTAACAACAGAAAAGACAGGACTAATTTTTGTTTTTCTGTTTTAATTTTCTTTTTCAAATGAGGCATACAGAGCAGTTTGAAACAGATGTTATGGGCACAGGGGGCATCAGAAATGCAGCAACAGTGATAATACTCTGAAAATGAAGTGCAAAGAAGTTGCAAACCAACATTGTAAAGGGGCACAGACCCCAACTGTGCTGAAAGACAGTATTGGCTACAAAGTGGACAAATATGTTTTTTAATGTTCTTTTGTTTTTAATGTTCAGTTTCTGTACATGCAAATACCATCTTCGAAGAATGACAACTACAAGGGCTCATTCAGCAAACCCCCCCCTTTACATGACTGAAATAAGTGTGAAAATATCTTGATATATTGTGACTCTGGAAAGTTTGTCTTTTTCCTTCAAATATCAGTTACAACTAATCATTTACAAGAAGTCAAACAGGGAACGCAGCACTACGACAACTTGGTTTTCAGCCCTCTAGTCTTATGCTAATAAATTATTAACCAGACACAGACGCACTCTCTAAAAAAATAACAAAGTTCACGTTGAAGACATCCAATATTTGAGCTTTCAGCAATGAGTCTGTGCAGATCCAACAGCCTTTGACCTGCTGGTGTCAAAGTGTACAGTTACATCAATAGCTGTCTATCGGTCTGAAGCAGAGAAACTGATGATAACCTATAACAACACTCAGTAATTTAATTTGTTTTTGGCTCTAGACTCAAATGGAGTCCAGTAACAGGGAGCTTTATATGTCGTGCTATCTATGCTTCTATCTGCTCCTTCTGGATCTTTCATTAGTTCACCAACACTTGGCACACTTTACAGTCTTAATGTCTGAAACGATGTCTTTGATTGAATGTGTTTCTCAGGGATGTCAATACAGCCATCATGGAGCTGCTGGTCATGGCTTATGCCCTGAAGACATCCTGTGCCAAGAACATCATTGGAGTCATTCCCTACTTCCCTTATAGCAAGCAGTGCAAGATGAGAAAGAGAGGATCCATTGTCTGCAAGCTGCTTGCATCCATGTTAGCCAAAGCTGGTATGAACCGTGTGTTGTACTTTCTCCGTCATTTATTTATTTGAGTGGAAAAGGCTCACAAAGCAGAGGGGAGATTCAAAATCTATTATGAATCTGTTATAAACTGTCAAATTTTGAACTTAAATGAAAATTTTTGTTTGTTTACTGCTGGAAACACTCACCAATACAAAGGACACAAATCTGTATAAGATAGTGGGAACAATTTTGATGTGTTTCCCTCCAAGTTCTCAGCTTCTATTAAAGTCTTTCTAAAGCCTGAGCTATCAGAAGACTGTGTTTGGCCATGTATAAATTGTACTCTGTGCATGAGCCTTTGAATAACTTATGTGTTGGGAACAAACTGGATATATTATAGGGCTGGGCGATACGGCCTCAAATCAATATCACGATGTATTGATCAGTTCACCTCGATAACGATAAATGGATGATAACTGCTCCACAAGCTGCTCACTGTGCTCCTTGAACTTGAACCGTCCTCCATCTCCTCACCTGTCTTTCCCTCTTTGTTATGGACTGGATGTGGTGGAGTCAAGTCTCCAACATAGGACAGTGTCTTAAAGGGACATGAGACCATAGCCTACCAACACACATCCAAAACCAACTTTTATTTGTTTCGTCTTTTTTTTTGACACTGAATGTACCGATATGGGCAAAATGACGTCGGTTATTGTCTTAAATTTTGGTATCGGTACATTTCCGGATTATCGCCCAGCCCTACTGCATCACAACATGCACCACAATATCTTTTTTTCCTTTTATAATTTGTCGCTTTAACTCTTAACTCCAGTTGCAAAATAGATTCACCAACAAGATGATTTATAAAAATGTGTGCTTAGTGAAGCAGTCTGCTGTGTTTCTGTGTGCATATTAATGATTATTATTTGTATCAAGTCTGCACTGTGCCTCCTCTTATGTCTTTTCCTGTTTTGTTTATTGTAGGTCTGACTCACATCATCACCATGGACCTCCATCAGAAAGAAATCCAGGGATTTTTCACCTTCCCCGTTGACAACCTGAGAGCTTCCCCCTTTCTCATCCAGTACATCCAGGAAGAGGTGAGGCCACAAGACACCATAAAGCAGAAAAAAACAGGCACATTGTTGCATTTATGTGTTGCTTCAGCGTATGGATTAATTTTGGACCTAGTTTACTGCTTGAGGGATATCCGTTCTTGTGTTCGATCAAAGGTCACCCACACAACCTTTCTCTTTTCCTCAGATCCCAGACTACAGGAATGCAATCATCGTTGCCAAGTCCCCTTCAGCTGCCAAAAGGTAACAAGAAAGACTGGGAAACCTCCCACCTCCTTAACATTTCCTGTACTGTCATAGTAACCACTTAGTTATTCAGCTTTCAGTCTTCTCAACTCTGTCCAAGCTTCCTTCCAAACTTCTCTTCTCTTTTTTTTCTGCCTCTATTTGTTTGTTTGTTTGTTTGTGTTTGTCAGTTTCTTTTGATTCTTGTGTGACCGCGTCTCTGTGTGTCTCAGAGCTCAGTCCTACGCTGAGAGGCTGCGACTCGGCTTGGCGGTGATGCATGGAGAAGCAAACCACTCCGAGTCAGACATGGCTGACGGGCGACAGTCTCCCCCCTTGTCCCGCACCACCACAGGACACACAGGCCTCGAGCTGCCATGTAAGACACACAACATACCGTTTACTTCAGTCTTTTTTTGTAGCCTCTTGTATTTACAACTGTTTGAGGGTTAAAGTTTCTCAGCCTCCATATACCGCTCTGAGGGATTGTCTAGATAAAGGTTAACTGTCAGTGAGGCAGTCAGGAAGTGTTTAATTGCCAGAGGAGGAATTTGAGTGCTTTACTTTGAACCTGTGCAGTCAGTAGAAAGCATGCAGCGTATGTATCTGTAGCTCTAAACTCAAGTCGTTTTAAATTTTCAAACAAAAACATGCTTTGCAAAATCCAAATACCCCAGATTAGGACCAGTAATAGAACTGACCTTCACTCACTGGTGAAGTTTTCTCTTAAACTGCCTTCTTTGACTGTGCCGACCTTGGTGTCTCACTCATCTGTACACAGTCTCCTTCAGGTCAGCTGTGCCTCAGGTGTTGTTTTAACCTGCTGTGAAATACTGCAGGCACAGGCTGACACCACTGACCTCTTTTTTTTTTTCTTCCACAACCACATTTATTTCCCTGCTCTTCTCATCTTGCCATTGTTGCTCTCTTTTAACCATTTCCCCTTCAACCCCTTAACTTGAAAAGATGTTTTGTTTTTTTTGCGAGCCTCATTTCTTTTCCTCCTGCTGGAGCTGAATCGATTCCATCCCAGCAGTCTCTTTTTCTCTCTGCTTTTACAAATGCACTGATAACCTGAACCATCCATTTCTTGTACAGGAAGGCTTCTCATGGCTGAAGGCTCATCGTGGATTTCACTCTTGCTCCATGTTGTATCTGCCATTGTCTAACCGTGCATTTATACTTTTTGTTCCCTGCTTTCTTTTGCCAACACAGGCGGCAGACATCATGTCCCATTCCCTGGGATAGAGCTCCCAAGTATGATCAGAACACTTGAATGCTTTCTTTTGTCTTGTTCATGGTTTGTCTCACTGCATGAAATGACAGGATGTGTTACTGAGGACTTCCACTTGCTTTTTAATATGGACTCTTAAAGAGAACATGTCATCAAATTTAGACAGTGATGATGAACTGGGCAGTGAAAACTTAAATTTATTGCATCCTCTTGCCATCTCTCAAGATTTGGGTGCAACACAGACTGATGGACAAGGATGTTGACATCTCAAAAACTTAATGTCTTTGCTAAAATAGAACAACCTGCATCATATTGACTCTGGAAGATGCTACACAAGTAGAAGTTGTACTGTTGTACTGTGGCTTCTAAAAAAGATGGATCTGCAGTCAAATTTTCAATCCAAATGTGACGTTGAAATTATTATTATTATTATTATTATTATTTAATGTAATTTTTTCACATCTAAATCATGTCTCCTGAAGGTGCAGAATTACATTTTTTTTGTCCTTTTGGACGTCATATGGATGTCCAATTCTGACATCTTGTGGACCTTCAAATTGGACGTTCACATGATGTGCAATTTTTGTCTAAATTGGCCATCGAAATCAGGTCCTTTTTATTTTTAATGTCTATTTCTGACGTGGTCTTGGCGTCCGATCGTGACATCCACATGACCTTTAGATTACATTTGAACGACGTCTTATCAACCCAATTTTGGCGTCCACAGGACATCTAGATAAGAGCACATTTACATTCTAATGATGGCTTCCATTAGTGCTGGACGATAATTCGATAACAATATATATCGATCGATAGACGTGTGTCGCGATAGAAAAAAAACGGGTCGATAAAAAGTTCGATAGAAAAACACAGTTTCCCTTTCTTTTTCATCATAGCCTATCATGTAGCTTTTACTACAGTCATTACTTCCTCCCAACCAATCACAAACGCAGACCCAGGTACGCTACGGCACCAAGCCCAGCCCCTATCAAACCACAACAGACAGCACGTGTATTAGAAAAAATGATACAGCAAGGAGAAGCGGAGGAAATTATCTCGAAAAAAGGGTTTCAGTAGTTCACCAGCATGGCAATGTTTTGGTTTTTACAAGTCTGACAAAAAGCGAACAGCGGTCGTTTGCAAAATTTGCAGAGAATTAGTAAAAACCTAGTCTGGTAACACAACCAACTTGTTCTACCATCTAAACCGATCGCACCCGCAGGAGTATGAGCTGTGTCGGCCGCGCCGCGGCTCCACGTCATCGTCGGAGGAATCCTCTGGAACCGCTGCCAGCACCAGCACAAAGCAAGTGAAGCAGATCAAGGTGGACTTCGTTTCTTGCCAAAATACGACAAAGCGTCCGAGCGGCATAAGGACATCACCCACGCAGTGACATGCTCCATAGCGAGGGACATACTGCCAATAACTACCGTTGAAAAGCCTGGCTTCGACCAGCTTTTAGCCACTCTTGACCCGCGATATGAAGTGCCCGGCCGCAAGTATTTCTCAAACACAGCGCTTCAGGCATGAAAATGGGTCAGGGGTTGAAAAGCTGAGAAGGGTGCGGAGGAAATACGTTCCGGTGTTGTGCTATAGAATGCACCCCTGCATCCCGTCCTCTCATTAGCTTCTTAAAGTGGAAGAAAATGAGCTCATATTTTATAAAGACGCGAGTATTTGGATCATGGCTACTAGCAGGGGGTGCGTTCGGCAGGGGTGCATTCTACGACACAACACCGGCGTGGACATGTCCTGCTTCTCGTGCTCAGTTTGCGTATTAAGTCAATCACATGATAATTAAAAAAAATAAATCTCCCGACCCCGGGAGAAATGTTTCAGTGTTCAGACACCAGGCTGTGGGCAGTTTCCCACACAGTTAAAACTGGTAGTATGCTATTCCCACCTAAAGCTATTCTGTTTATTTATATATTTGTTTGTTTTGTTTATTTTCATCAAAAGACTATTTAAATATTTATTTATCAGATTTTCTGGTCACTTTAGTCTTTATGTTTGTCAGTATTTACTGACGTCACTCAGGCCACTTAAGTTGATTTCTTTTTTTTTTTTAAGTTCTTTTTTAAAAAACTTTCAGTTGTGGTAAAAAAAAAATAAAAAGGTGGTTGAATAAAGATTTGAATTTGATTTCAGTGCTTGTGTGTTCTTTATTAAAAGTAGGTCATTAAGCAATAGCATAAAACATCCAGGGCTGCAATTAAAATATATGTTGAATAATTATAATAATTATATTGATAATTATCGATATCGATCAATATGATTTATTTTTTATCGATATGCTTTTATTCTATATCGTCCAGGCCTAGCTTCCATGTCCATTTATATTTTTAGCTTTTTGTTTTGTTGCCTTTACCTTTTACTTTTCATCAAATTGGGTTCCAACCTGAAAAAGAGCACTATAGTTATGCATAGAGGTTTTTATATACAATCACAACTTAATCCTCCTTTCATTTTCCATCTCTTCAATTAACATTTTAAGGTAAAAAAAACAAACTGGAAACTGGAAGTGAAAGAGAGAGAGAGATGGTAGTGGTGGCCAGGTTACTTAGATACAGAACAGAGAGCGTGATTTGCTAATGAAGAAAACATGACATTATCACTTTGTTGAATGAAGAGTATTTCTGAACCAGCACTGTTGGCAATGACCTATTAAAAGATTAAAAAAGGTGCCCAATAATGTTTTTTTTATGAATTTGTACACCTTCACTTGTGTAGTTGGTGATTAATGGCTGACTATGATTGATTCCTATTTGCTGCCCTTTTTTTGTTTATTAATGTTTGGCGACTCAGCGTTGCACATAGTGAGTCTATGTGTGCTTTTGCCTGCCTCCAAATCAAAGCTGTCTTGACTGATGGAAGGTATTTCACACACTCTGCCCAGTTCACTGCTGACATACTTAACAAGGAATTTCTGACATGCGTAACTTTTCTCTGAGCCAGCTCCTTGTCTGTTCTATAACGGACGAGTCGAAGAGCAGAAATACAAAAAGCTGTGTTTACATTTTGTCCTTTAAAGTCTTGCTCTGGATTTGGAACTTTGGCCTTTTACTCCCAAAGCTTTAATTAAATTTGTTGGAAACCCTCAGTCATGCATCCTCTCAGCTTAAAAACAATTTTTTGTTGTTCTAAGAATTGTTACTTGACTGTGGTGTGAATAACTTCATCTTATGTTAACTTGGTTGCTACAGTTGTCAAATCCTCAGGTGTATCAAATCTACAATTTAAAGGTAAAAAAAGCCAGTGGAGACATGAATGCTCGATCTGGCACACCACTGACTGAATGCCAAGTGAGCATTTTCTTGCCTGATGTTTATGGTGTTTTAAAATCTCTCCTCATGTTTCCCATTTGCATCTTTTTGACAAGTCAAAAAGTTTTGATTTATTTAGCAAAAATATTATTACATTTAGTTTTGACCAAATGGTTGTGTGATTGTTGGGAAAGGACCTCTGAGTGTGCCTTGCTGAAATCTGCATAAGGGTTATGTGTACGGTCAGGGCCTCAATGCCAATTCTAGACCAGGATCAATCATTATTTGAAAGCATATTTATAGTCCTGTTTGGGTTTGGAGGCCTTGATTTAGAGGCCAAGTAAAGCTATGCGTAAAAGAAAACTGAGAATTTTTCAGATAATGCTTTTTTCCTGGTCTGTGGTTCCTGAAAGAGGCTCAGTTCCACACCCACTCGTCCATCTACTTCTAACCCGAATCATGTGAGATGCACCGCATAAACTCTCGTGAAGATTTAGCAGCATCACTAACGGATTCCTCAGAGGGTCTCTAGTGACCTGCTGCTGTTATCGGAGTGGTTCAGCGGTAGATGGAGGTTTGTTGGTGCAGAGCTTTCTTGCATGATGTTTGAAACTATGTCAAGTCCCTTCTCATTAAATCTCCCTTTAATTTCCACTTCCCCTGTAGCATCCAATTGAGGTTACAGGATTAATCGAGCTCTATGTCCACTAAGTAACCTTCTGCCATTTGTGTCTTTCAGTGATGATGGCCAAGGAGAAACCGCCAATCACGGTTGTGGGAGACGTAGGAGGCAGAATCGCCATCATTATTGTAAGACGTCTTGTTTCATATGTTCATGAATAGTAAATCAGATTTATTTAATTACACCATTTTAATATGTTTACAAGAACTCGTGTTATCATGCTGTTTTACTCCTGTGGTCACTTTCTCAGGATGACATTATAGATGACGTGGAGGACTTTGTAGCAGCAGCGGAGATCCTGAAGGAAAGAGGAGCCTATAAAATCTATATTATGGCAACGCACGGTCTTCTCTCCGCAGATGCACCCAGACTAATAGAGGAGTCTGCTATCGACGAGGTAAAACCATGTGATGATGGCAAATACTTCTTTTCCTTACATTTCAGCGGTCAACTCCAGGAGTAGCATTCTGCACACTGGGGCAATCTAATTTAACACAGTACAGCGTCTGTTCCACTAACTCTACTTTGACATAGTTTCTACATAGTTTGTTGACTTGTGTAGACAGGTGATAATTTTTAAACTTACTGTTGAAATTCGGCTTCAAATCTGATAATGGTGGGAGGTCGAAGTTGTCCATAGTATATACAGTCTATGGTAACAGCCTGTCTCAGAACACCCCCCTTGTTTTCACTATTTTGGATTCGCCCAACCTACTGGAGACCGGCTTGAGACACAAAGATTGAAGAGCGTCCACGTGACTTTAAATCCGGTGGTTTACTGAGTGACTATTTTCATTCTGAGCATTTCAACTTTCATGTTTCCACCTCCTTTACCATCCGTGTTAGTATATTTTCACCCAGCTGAAGCACGCTCCACCGAGCTGCATCGTCCCCCACTGCAGAAGGGTTTGCCATCAGAGTCGGAAACCCCCCTCCCGATTAGTTGGTTTTGGTCGACCAAGAATTTCTTCGGTTGATTACAGCCGTAGTTTGCCTGCACTGAGCAATGTCTCACCTTGTCTCATGTGTTCCCACTGTAGGCAGGGCTCATTCATGCTTCTCACACACAGCAAAGGATGATGATCTTTGTAGCGAGTGTGCTAACAAGTTGAAGCTTTCAGTCTGCTGGGAGGAATCAAGAGTGATGGCGCCCTTTTTTTTACTGCACATATCTCCCAGCCATGTTGACCATTTATCGACCATTTACAGACTCTCTGTTTTTTGACAGCCCCAGTTTCACACAATACTTAAATCATGACAGTGTTTCCTGGACAATTATCATGTTGAATGAAGTAATTTGTAAAGCTCTTTATTTGGCTCAGGTCCAAACTCTTCGACTGTCACCCTCATGTACCCTCCGTGCACACAGGAACAAAATGTTTTTGTCACGTGGTAAAAAACCACAGTTGACTTTTCAAACTCCAAAGTACAGAGTTACAGAGATGATAGGAAGCAAGATAAGCGATGACATAGAGATCTCTACGGATTTACACGAAGATTGAACATTAATAATGAAATCTGAGCATAAAAATTCAAACATGGCTCAACACTTACAAATACTTAGGATGAAGATTGACATTTGTGATAATCGCTTGTCCGAAAAAACAACTCAAATTTAGAGTTCAGAAAGTAAAAAGGTGAGAAACCTTTCTAATTATAGAAAAAAAGATTACCTGTAAAGACTTTAAGAGTTCAATCAATCAGTCTTTATTTGTATAACACTTTTTATACAAAAACGATGTAGCACAAAGTACTTAACATAGCAGAGGATAAAAGAAACAAAGAAAACCCTGATCTACCCCAACCCAACCCCTCATTCCCACCCCACAGTCTAAGCACAATAGAAACATGTATTAAAATGCATGAACTTAATTCAAGATAAAGAAACACTCAAGGTTTAAAATCTAAAAAAAAGAAACAAAGAATGAAATTTAAGAAATAATTAGTAAAATGAAATAAAAACAACTGTAAAGGTTACTAAAATAAAAGCACTAAAATGGCTCAATAAAAGACGATCCTGTCACTAAAACTAAAATAGATAAATGCTAAAACACTTCAATATAAAATTAAGTTAAAAGCAGGACTGAAAAGGTATGTTTGCTCTCCTACTAAATACTTGACACTGATGCCGTTGTGTTGCCCCTTCAGGTGGTGGTGACCAACACCGTTCCTCACGAGGTGCAGAAGCTTCAGTGTCCAAAAATCAAGACTGTGGATGTCAGCATGATCCTGGCCGAGGCGATCAGACGCATCCACAACGGCGAGTCGATGGCCTACCTGTTCCGCAACATTGCTGTGGACGACTGAGGCAACACACACATACATTCACGTTCTCGCTAACATTTATCAAACACACACTAAATGATGACCAAGAATCTGTTTTACTCCAGCACAGGCTTTATTTTGTCGCTGCTGTTTTTTTTATCTGTTGGTAAACATGCGAAACAGAAATTGGCTTGTTTGGCTGTATTGGCTGTACACACGAGGCAAATGCTTCATTTGTCTGTTACATAGTGGGACTGCACCAACAACACCAACTGTTACACTTCACCGATATAACCCTTCCTTTCAGTTATTAATAGCACTGCTAGATGTATCATGCAGCCTCATTGTAAGCTGCAGCAAATAAAACCGTTTTTTTCTTGGGTGATTAACAGTCTGTCATTATTCCAGCTTGTTTGAAGAGACGTGCCTCAACTTGAATGAGTGTTGCACAGCGCTGTGTCTGGTGGTTTGCACTTTGAAGAGTGAAGCTGTTTGCAGACATCTGTAAATCAAAAAAAAAAAAAAGGTGCCGGGCACTGACTTCACTCCTGAAACTCAACTTTCGGTAGCAGTTTCATGTCAAAGCTGAATCTGCTTTACTATGTGAAGCATGAAATGTAGTGTAACACAGTTTGATTAAAATCTGTTGTAAGAGTTTGACGACTTACTCAGAACAATAACTTTGAGGAAATTCAGAAGAGTGTTAGAGAGACATAAGGTAGTGGGTGTTTGGTTTCAAACTCTGTAGTAAACCTTCATTTAATTGTGTATATCCTGAAAATAGTGTTACACCACCTAAAATAACCAAATGGTTCAAAAATGTTGCGTTATGACCACCTGTAGTCATGATTTTTTATTTTTTATTCAGAGGAACTGGGACTTTTTGGATTTACAGCGCGAAAGTTGTCTCAGATCTCTTCACAATTTTATCCTAAATGGTTTGATTTCTCGTGTAAGGACTACGTTTGTCTCGTTCACATGTTCATCTTACACATCAGCACATGACAGCTCAGAGTAAATTCAAACTTGACACATACTACGGTTATTTTTACCCTTTCACAAAAGAAGAAGCCACAGGAAACCTGTTTCTGAATGGACCCAGTTTATATCCAACTATTTCACCTCAAACTTGCTGTGCTTCGTCTTGGACCCTGAACTTGTTCTAAACGCCTCAGAGCCGTTATAACCTGCTGAGGAGCTTTGACCAAGTCCAGGGGCGAAGACATCTGAGAAAATAGTCAAAAGTGTACGAGTAGCCTCCCTCACTGCAGGTAAAAAAACAACAACAACAAATCAGTGATAATCAAAGTAATTCAGTAAAGGTAGAGTACAAAAAAATGTCTAAAAACCCTCAAATACCCTTCCAGATATAAACTCTGTGTAATCAAATGACAAATCCACACACCTGCGTGACTGTGAAGCTGCTAGGCCCCCTTCCCTTTGCAAATGACCAAGAGCAGAGGCGGAAGAATGTTTAAATGCAGACTGAAAGAGGAACTGCCTGCAAACGTTAACCCGGCCACTTCCTCAAATTAAAACAGGAAACTTTGTTCAACCTAATCTGATGGACTAGAGAGTGTGTGTTGGTGTGGGTGTGTGAAATTGGAGGAGGAGGGGGGGTCTTGAACCAGGGCTCTGATATGTCACAGTTGAGCAGGTTGCATTTAGGGGAACTGTGCACCAGCTACCTTAGGGAACTGAACAACAGTCAACATAGTCAACAAGTTTAACAAGAATTTGGTTTTTATCTTGATACTCAGGGTGTGCTGCTTTTAGTTCTCCCACAGGTCTGAATGTAAATATCAGAGTCTGAACCGCCTCACAGATTTGCGTGTCATACTCACCCTCAGCTTTTTTCCTAGAATGTGAAAAAAAATATTTGCAGCATGAATGTTGAAGTTGTCTATTTTGGTTTAAAGGTGCGGTGATTGACTGCAAACAAGTCGAGACTAATCCTCTAGACTAATTAACGGTATTATAAGACCACGTCTTTGGTTTTCAGGAAACTGTGGACACTTAGGATCGAGAAACACAACAGATTTAAGTCTACGTCAACATCAACACCTCACTTTTATTTTCAAGGTTTGAGGTTAGAACTTTATGAGGACAAGGAGAGGAGACACTGAAGTCTGAGGTTACCCACTGCAGCAGATGTAATGTGTGTTTTTGACCAACAGATGGCAGTAGAGATCCTACTTAGTTCTAGGAGAACGACACAAGGCGCATCTCTGACTCTACTTGGTTTGTTCAGTTACATTAGCTGTCAATGGAGAAAAATTACCCGCTGTAACTCTACAAGGAAACCGAGTGTCATGTTTTCAAAGCTTCTAATGTTTGGAGTCTTCATATGTTCTACCTAAAGGAAACCCTAAAACCTCTGTGTGAGCTTCAACCATCAGTTCCACACAACACATGCTACTTTATTATGTTTATATCTTTTATTACACAGTTTAATCCACATTCAATTTACATAAGAGATAAAAAAACAAAAAGCAAAATAACCCAAATGAATAAACATGTGATTCCATTATTAAAAAAGATCTAAATCATAGTTTAGAAATAAAAAAAGACACTCCCACAATATTTTACTGGTCATTTGAAAAAGTGCATTTACAGTTTTCTTTTGCATTTACAATATTTTACCACTTCTTCAAAATGTACATGTAATGTCATGCTTATTTGCAAATTTGACATGGATACAAAATAATTGTAAACATTATATGATATGCTACAACTGAATCATCGAATAAGATCAAACAGACGACCTCGGCACAAACCACATCACTATTACACACTTTTTTTTTTCATAAGTAGACAATTTGTTGGAAACAGTCAAACATGGTGATGCTATTGAACATTTCAGTTGAAAATCCAGTAGTTGTACATAAACACAAGCAGCATGTCACCAAATAAGCAGCAACAACATTACATCAGGTAAACAACTGGGTGATGGATATGTCTTTCTTCTTTTATTGGCTCTGTGTTAAAGTCCAGCCTTTTCACCGTCCTCCTCCTCTTCAGTTTCAAAGATGTGTGCCCTGAAGTCTCTCTGTCAGTCCAGACTCATTAATCTCAGTCAGGCAGCTCTTCACTTCACACCTCCCAACTGAGACAGTCAGGTTTGTCTACCTTAGCAACCCCCTGTCCTCTTATCTTGCATCATTTTTTGTAAAACAAAACAGCTCTCCTCCTCTTCCTTTACGACAGAATACAGCTGTTGGTTTTGTTCATGGGCGGCCGGAAGTTGGCGTCTTTTGGGAAGGTCTCCCTGCGTCTGCGAAGTGCCGGGCTGAGGCGGCTTGGGAGGTTTGCCTGCTGCAGCAGCTCCTTGAACACCTCCACCACATTTTCATTCTCCTTCGCTGAAGCCTCCAGGTAACTGTTGTTCCAATCCAGCTCCACGGTCGACAGCACATCCTCGTTCGATACCTGACGCTCTTCCTCCCGGTCCACCTTGTTCCCCACGACCACGATCGGCGTGTACTTGTCCTCCTTGATTTCCAGAATCTCATCCCTGAGGCTCTTCACCGCCTCTAGAGACTCTGGATCGTCCACAGCATACACTAGTGCAAAAGCATCACTGTTTTGGATGGAGAGCTTCCGCATGGCTGGGAAGGAGTAGCTTCCGCTGGTGTCAAGGATCTCCACTGTGATCTTGACCCCTCCGATGTCATACTCCTTGCTGTGCAGCTCCTCCACCGTGCGTCTGTGTTTGGGCTCAAATTTATCTTGGAGGAAGCGTTGGATCAGGGCTGTTTTGCCCACTCCTGCTGCCCCAAGAAAAACCACACGCACCTGTGTCTTCTCCAGAGACATGCTGCTCTTTTGTTTTGAGACCAAAGTGGGTGGAAAAAAAAATAACCCAAACACAGCCTCAGTCTACTCACTTCCTCTACAACACCTGCTGCAATACAGACTCTGAAAATTTCAACACTTGCCACGAACTTCTACTTCTCTAAATTTTTTCTTCTCCTTGAGCTCCCTTCCTTGCTCTTTATTCCTCCCTCCAGTTTAGTGAAGCTGGCAGAGGCTCTCTGTCAAAGCAGCTCAAAGTTGCATATTAGATGCTTCTCTGTGTCTGATCCCACACACTGCCTTTTATGCCTGTTTTGGAGCGCGAGCTTCCATGCCCTCCTGCAGCTCCAGCCAATCAGCAGAAGGCAGCCTGTTGAAGCACAACAGCCGGGCAGCCAATGAAGGCAGAGCATGTAAATCAGCGTGCAGGGACGGGGAGGTGCTTCCTGAAAGCGAATTAACAGCAGAGGGAGGAGTGAAAATATTGTGGAGGTTTCTAATTATGTCAAGAGGTCACAGAGCACCCTGGAGAAAAGACACCATCTGTTGATCAGTGCATGACAGTAAAGAAACAACCTGTCCCCCAAGGATTTTCACACATTTTGGGATTTTCGCCACCTTTTAATGTCTTATGCAATCCAAGCTTTGATGTCCGACTCATTAAAGGATGAAATAAAATGCAGCTGCGTGTAAATACTGCATAAAAGCCTATTTATTTAAAGTCCTCTTCCATCAGTGCTGCATCCCTCCTGAATTTAATGAAACCTCTACAACCAGGGCTGTTCAGGGGTAAAGAGTAAATAGCGGGGAACAGGATTTGAAGAGTTGAACAGTGTCTACTTACAACATTAGTACACATTAAAGCACAGAGTAACTTTAAACTGGTACATGAGGTCATTTTTTTAAGTACAGTATCCATGTCACAGTGAGTCATTTTGCAAAGCTACAAAATCAAAACCATGACGCCACAGATTTGCATCCTAGAAAAGTTGTGTGAAAAGAAGAACTATATTCCATTCAAACGCACATGAAAGTAAACACCACATCTTGGTAGAGGGAGATGCACCTTCCTTCCATGAAAACACAATTTAAAGAAAAACCTGCAAAAATCGCAAAAAGCTCAAAATAAGGCTTCAAGATTAGTTCTCCAGTGCTCCAAGCACGCATAAGTTACAGAAGTGCACAAAAATCTCTAATGGCTTCCTGTTGAGAGTAGATTTCATTCTCATGCTCTCACTTTTTTCCGTTAAGTTTTAATAGACAAGGGACCACAGCATGTCCATGACCAAGTTGAGTATACGCGAAATGTACATAACCACATGACTAGACAAGCCAGCTCTGGAAACACTGAACAACCTTAACCAAAAACAGAGCTACTTAAATCTACTTTTATCTATCGAGCCATTACAGGATGGAACTCAGTGCCAAATTATACAAAAAATAAAAGCACAAAATTTGATGTGATTAAGCTTGTACTAATCCATAGGCACAAAACTCATGTACTGTATGTGATCCTGGCTTATTCCTTCTTTTATTCACTTGTCACATCCTTTTTTCTTATTTTTATTTAATCATTTTAAAGACGAGTGATTGTGTAATCACTGAATGAATGTTTATGCAATATTTTTATTTTTGGTGTTGGACCCCAGAAAGACTAGCTTTGTCTTGACAAAAGATAATGAGGATCCTATTAGACAATAAACAGTCTATTTTTACGAAGGTTCACCAGTACCAACACAAGAGTGCTTTTGCATGGACCAGAAAAAGAAAAAAAATACTTGTTACTGGAAAGACACATCAAACGAAGTCAACCCTTGGTAAGTTTACGTGAGGTAAGATCTGTTTACATGGCATTGTAGAATTTATTCTCTGGTGTGATAAATTTCTGTGATTTCTGTGTGTGGAAACGTTTTTTTGGCGTACGCAGTCATAGATGTCAACGTTATGCTAATAAGCAAAAAGTTGACTCCTTGTTCGACAGTCAAACTTTTAATTCACTGCATCACCCTTGTAGAGGAGAGGAGACAGTCATAAAAACCAGGGAGACATATCGCGTTGAATTACTACCCCGAGTAGTTAATTCAAAAACTTTCCTCTTTAGCGACGTTTCATCTGCAGAATTCCAGAGAGAACATCCTCAGTCACACTCGGCGGTGCAGTGCTCTGTATGTCACCTTCACCTTATCCTTTGGGTCCAATCAGATGTGATTCTTTGACAGTAAATGTCTGAGAAACAAATCTTCCCTGCTTTAAGTTTCCAGAGGAGTGAGTCTGACTCGTGATCTTCATAAATTTCTCTCGGGACTTGGGTCGTCTCACAGGCTGCAGCTCTGTCTGCCTTGTTAGGTTTGCCAACAGCGTGGAACCAGGATAAGCCCATGGGGAACAATGTTCCCCCCAACATATACTTTTAATACCCATTCATATTGTTACTCCTCAGGGAGGGGGGCCAGTTGCACATGCTGGGTCGGAGAGCAGAGCCGAGCACAGTAGGAATATTGGCTGTGGATTATCTGGTCCTGACACAGTGTGAGGTTTGCTAATGACTGCTGTCACATGCATGTGGAATTTAAATCAGGGTCTCTGAACAGCTTTTAAAGTCAAGGTCATGAAGACATTCTGTGTAAATATTGATATTTTACCATTCATAGCGTTTCTATGGCTCTAAATAGAAACACTGTTAATTTATGCTTTCATTTGTATTTTAAACCCTGGATCATATAAGTATATATTTACTATTTTTCTTCTGTAGCTACCACAAATGCTTGTTTCAGCTTACACCTGAAACCGCAATTGTCACTTCTCTGTTTAATAATGTGGAAGCTTAAAGTCCCTCTCCAATCGATTTCCTTTTTTTTTTACTACTTAAAGTGTTCTCAGTGGTCTTCAAATTGTGAGTATGAAATTTTCAGCCAAAATCACGTTACCTGTGTTATTTTCAAGGGCCTTTCTTCTGCAGAACTCCAGTAGCTCATTAGCAATTTGCCTCTTGAGTTGTGGGCGTAGTTAGCTATGTTCTGCACCCTCCTCTTCACGCTAGCTTGTAGCCTAACATTGCCGGTGTAGTAGAAGTGGCAGGTAACATAGGAGCCATTCAGCTCTCTGACACTAATGTCTTTTGGAAGCATGATGAAAGCTAGTTTCATAGTTATAGTTCATAGCTTGCTAACAAGCATTGCAATCTGCTACCACACACACTTTTTCCACGATTGTCCTCTCTACTTCTCGGAGTCTGGCCTGCAGAGCATAACTCTCAAGTATTGGTTCGGGTACTTAGCGCGCTAGTCCGTGCTATGACTAGTTGGTGGGTACTTGGTGTGCGCTAGTCACAAAGTTCAGTTTGGTGTGGCAGAATAATGTTTTTTATATACATATATTATAAAACGACATATTTCCGGGAGAGTAGTAATAAGGGGTAAAATATGATAGCTTCCTGGCCAAAATGGGATACTTGACAGCTGTGCTGCAGAGCAGGATGGCGGAGGCAGAGCTTGGAATTGTGACATGGAAAGTCTTACTGCATCTTAACCTGCCGTTTGGGTCTGTGAGAGGTTCACAATGATTTAAATGCAGAAATATTCCTAATGAAAATCGCCATATGAACATGTAGACAACAAGAGAAGCATAATTTTTTATCAGGGTGGGTCTTTAAAGTTTAACTTGTGTCATATTCTGAGAAATTAGTATGGATATCATAAAAGGCGAAAGGCTAAGGAAGCATTCAGCACTAGTAGTCACATCAATTGATTTTCATGCCTCAAAGCTTCTGTGTCAGACTAATGGTAGCACCTGTTTATGACCAACAAAAGCACACAAGACCATCAGCAATAAGATTGATTTTTTTATTATTATCATTCAAGTCGTATTATCTTATCCCTTTATCTGTTCGGTGGGTCCAATGTTTTGAAAATGATCAAAGATCAGGTGATGAAAACACAGAAAGCTGCAAAACTTCTGTGGTAAAAAAAGAAAGTATGACTACATCACCAAAGAATCGCATCATTATGTGTTTAACAATAGAAAAAGACCTCCCGTATGTGGCCACATGTGGAGTTTCATGTGTTTGTCAAATGCCGTTAATTCCTCATTTTCCTCTGCCTTTTTTTGTATTTCTGTTTACAGCCTGTGGTGATGAGCAATAACAGATGGCATTGGTTGTTAGTCTGACACCAAAGTTCAGCACTGATATGTGCAAAGAAAAGAGACTCAGTTTTGAGCCATCATCAGACTGTTGCTGCAGACACAGACACACAGGCCTGTTAATCTCATAGCATCAACTTCAACCCAAAGACCATCGTCAGATTGTGTACAAGGTCCTTGTATGTTTCACCTTTTCTTCATTTTCCTGCTTCTTCATGAACAGTTTGCCTGTTCACTGCCTATTCAACACACAGTGCGGGACCTGAGTCGTGACCCTATCATCTTTCATTTGCCATTGTGCTTCTGTGAGTGCGCGCGTGTATGTTCGTCCCCTGGTAAACCCCATGGGCTCCTGTTGCCATAGTGCTGTGTCCTCCTGTCTGTGTCTGTGTTCTTCTTGAAGTCACTCAATACTGCTTTCTTTTTTTTTCTTTTCTTTTTTCTTTTTTTCAGATCTTCTATGAGCTGTTTGAGAAAAAGCTTTTCACACTGAGAAAGTAAACTTCAAAATCAGCTGCGTGTCGTTCATCTAAGTAGGTTCGGCCAAAAACTCCTCTGAGCGGAATGTCACTGGGTCTCCTAATTGGTGGTAAGCTGCCTGTGTCCCCCTCGCCTGAACGTCAACATCCTCGCTCATGTGGCAAACATACAAACTGCACTGTCAACCTGTCAAGATGATGTTGTTTCAATCTGACAGGTGCCAAATATGAATGTTGCCCAGCGTGTGAATTGACCTTCACTTCGACTTGAATTGCAGTCCTTTATAGTGTATCAGTACTTGCAAGAAAAGGCAGCGATTACTGTTGATGTTTAATGTGGTAATAACAGGACGCGTGTACATGTGAAATGATCCACTTATGGTCAAGAAATCGTATAGATTAAAATTATTTTTGTTTTTATATATACTCAACCTCTGCGTTGTACTTTAAACTATATGGCCGAGGTTTTTGTACACAAAGAAGTTGTGCACCAGCGGGGAAATGTCAGTAATAATCATCAGGAAGAAATAGCCAACAGCTGTAGAAATCATCAGAGAAAATGTACATGACTTAAAGTCTCACACCGTATTTTATTTGACTACTACAAGTGTTGATAGTGATCTTTAAATTGTGATTACGATGGTTTTTAGCCAAAATTAAGTCACCTGTCACCAGTCTGACCTACATAGCCGGGCTCTGGGGGTGGAGCTTGGAATTGTGATGTAGGAAATCTCACTGTTTCTGAACCTGCCATTTGGGTCTGCCAGAGATCTGAATGCAGAAAAAAATGCAATTTGGCACTTATTTTTCTCATGATATGTCCAGTAGCATCAGAAAAATGCCATATAAACATGTAGACAACAAGAACAATGTGGTATTTATCGGAGTGGGTCTTTAAACTGATTCAGTTTTGGATCATTTCTTTATCTTGTTAATATCCTTGTTAGAACACAACTACGTATATTTGGTTCTTGCAAAAGAAAACGTTTTAGTTTTGACTTGTATATACAGCAAGAGAGATAAGTCCAATCACAAGCAGACACTGGAGAAGTACAGTATGTAGAGCGTCTGATATCAGGTTTTGAGGGATGTACTTACATATGCATGGCTATACTTGAGCTCTTGCAAACAGTTGAATCCTAATGGCAGGGAGTAGTACTGCTGCGTTCCAGTTACCTCGGATGTCAGAGCTGGAAATGATGTTACAACCGAGTTGACAGCGTTCTAGTAAACAAGTTGGAAAACCAAGATGGACATCTACTGTTAGCCTTTGTTAGCTGTTGTTAACAATTGTCATGTGTCGTTAGCAATTGTCAGTGGTTGTTAGTTGTTGTTAGCTATACCAGTTGTAAACAACACATAACACAATATTATTTTACTCTTACAGACACCTTAGCATCGCGTTCAGAGTTAGACTTTGGGCAGTACAACATACACCACTTTTCACTTTTACTCTTTACTCTTGATGCACTGCGCTGCCATCTTGGATTATGACGTTGTCGTCAAGTCGGGGTTGGTGAGAGTCTTCCAACTTTCCGAGTGAGAATTCAGACTTCAGGGGGGCGTTCCAGATGAATTTCTGACTTGAGTACAACTGGAACACACTATAAGCCGTGGCTTAAAGCTTTGTATACACGGGTACTTTTTGTGTTGGGTTGTGTTAAGTGTCTGTTTTACTCTTGAAGGAGTTTCTTTCTTTTCATTGCTCAGTGACTCCATGAACTTCTTATCGTGCTCTGGCTGTTCATACAGCCCAGGTGATGAACCTAGCTTAGGGAGATGTTGTTGAACAGCTGCTGTGCCTGCACTCTTTGACAGTCATTATACAACTCTACCACACAGTTATAATCAGTCAACAATTCCAGACTTTACTTTCTGGGATTGGCGATGTGGTAGCATGGCACTGCTGAGTAAACAGCTCGTGGCAGCTTTGTATTTGCAAGTATACCCTCTGTGTACATTGGCATTGAGTAGCTGTTAAGATAACAACCTAAAATACAATCCAGTGCAAATAACTGGCCTTAAACTTACATTACACTCTTTAACTAGGACATGAAGAATAGGTTTAATATGTCTTTGTGAAAATGGTGTTCTTGTTTGAGTATCACAAACTATGAAACAGCTGCGTGACAGTTACTCTGTCAGAGTAAAATCATAATCCAAATGGCCTCCCAGTCTGACAGTGCCGCTCAACGTCTCATCTTGTTGAAACAAATTGAGTTTGGCATGAATAGTAGATGGTTAAATGGTGAGCAGTAAATCTTTATGGAAAAATGATGCCATTTATATGGTTTTATTTTGGCTTTACGGTCATGCAGCTGCCTTCTGTCCGCCCTGATATTCATTTATTGACTTCCATATTTAGAAATTAGTCATCTATTTATATTCTTTTTCAATGGAGATTTTCCAGATATGTACCAAAGTTGATGATAAAACAGCTATTTTATTATATTTAAGAATGAAACTGTGTCAAGATACTGCAGCACTGCTCTTGATGGACTGACAGGATGTCTGCTAGAAAATCCTACATCAGCAGTTAGGTCAAATGTCCTTATATCTTAGTAATATAAAGATGGACAGGAACTGGAAGACACCAATACTCCGTCATCCTTGTCAAATATAATCAAAACATTTACCCATTGATTCATGTCTTTTAAATCACAAATTTGTAATCTAAAGGAGAAAAGGTGCCATATTTCCTCAAACTTTTTTTTTTCTCAAAAAGTAGTTCAGCAAATATTTATTCACATATAAAAAAAATGACAAATGGATTAAAATTGAAAAAATTGAAAGAATGACATAGATGAAGCTAGTATGGGACATGTATCAATAGTCATTGTCGGGAATAAAATGTCCCAAAGCACCAAAATAGTCAAGAACCATCGATTTGTTCTTGCTAGAATAATGGTTTTAGTTTTATTTTCAGAGGTATAATTAATTCTTATCATAGGGCAGCTTTGGCTCAGTCTGTAAAGTCTGTTGTCTCCCAATCAGAAGGTCAGGGTTTGATTCCAGAACTGTCCATGTGCCTACCCTTGCTGGCTGTGCTCAGTTGATCTCGAATGTACACCACTTTGGATAAAAGTGTCTGCTAAAGGACATTGTATTGCATTGTTATTAGCTCAATACATAATACAGTTTCAGTGAATTACTCTGAGGTAATTCTAGGAAATTTAAAAAGTGAAGGAAAATTTGGTCTCTGCAGGCCCAAAGGCAACCATGTGAGGTCTATCTGCACTTTTCGACAATATAATGCAATCATTTACAATTATAAATGATTGCAGGTCACACAGATGCTCCTTTTCTCTCTATTTATAAAGCCTAATTTTTGCCTGTATCTGAACAGCATCATGATTCAGGACAAGCAAAGGACAATATTACCTCTAGAGTGAGTCTTAAAACACTGTGATCATCGCTCTCGCTCCTTTCTTTAAAATATACTCTGACTTCAAGAACTTATTTGCATTTGCACATTTGCCACCCCGGATGCCCAAAATATTTTGGACATTATGCTAAAATTGTTTTTCTCTTTCCCAGCAAACATCTGTCATCATGTTTGGTGAGGCGGGCACAGTCTCAACAATCCTCGCCTTTATATGCATTCAAAGTAGAAAAAAAGACATTTCCAATGAATATATTTTGTTGAGATGTTTTTTTTTCTTCTTCAAAAGTATCAATAAAATATTCCTATATATCTCAGACCAAAATCTTATAAAAAAATGTATAATCATCTGGTCAGGGTTACTAAAGTTTACAGTGATCCTAGCTGCACAGAGATCCTCACGACACTGTAACTAATTGGCCTTCCTTGATAAGCATTAAAGTGAAGGAGGCCCAGGACTAACACCACAACACACCAGGGAGTGTCCTTGGACAAACACCTCTCTGTTCTGCAAAATGTGTTATTTATTATGTGCTTAAATTACACACTTGAGCTGCACGTGCGGTTATCTAGCATGTAAGCCCCAACGACTAGAAAAGGCGACTCATAAGCATTATGTTATTGTTAGATTTAACATGCTAGTGGACTGAAACATGCCCGGGTGATGAATAGATGGAGATCATAGTGGAGGACAGTGCTCTGGACAACCTGAAAACACAGAAGAAGAAGATAAATATGCGTGTTTAAAACCATCTCCTGTTAAAGCTGGTGCTGGAATACTTGATTGAAAACCTTTGAAAGCAAAGAAATTAGCTTTTTTTCCACTACAACATGTTCTCATACCAGTTTATTATGCAGATGTTAGGTTATATAGCTGTAGTGTCTGATGTTAATGTGTGTTGTATAAAAAGGAGAAGTTAGTTTCTTCTTCTTCTTCTAATGCAAACTGACTGGTTTGGTTTTTGTTATACTGGAGGATGAAGCTTCTGTGAGGAACTGTGAGGTTCGTGTCATTTCTGAGACCACCTGTGGATATACAGCTGGTCTTTTCGCTTACGTTATCCTAAACAAGCCATGATAGTATTGACACAATTTTCAACTGGATTAATGAGAGTTTGCTTTGCTTTTGTACAACACTGTCACAGAAGTATCATTATTTGATTGTCTCTTTAAAGGGATATTACGGATTGTTTGTGGGGGAGCCCTGATGAGTCGATCACCGAGTGCAGAGGAGTTTCGCAGCTCAAGGAAGAACATTTATGATTATAACTTCATGGAAATGCAATCAGACCGAGACGCTGAAGCAGAAGAACTACCGTTTCTGCAGTGCAAAATGATTATTATGATGATTATTACTTCAAGGAAATGATCCACTGCACCGGATGATCGACTCGTCAGGGCTCCCCCACAAACTAGCGGCTGCTGGAGGAGAGTGGGTGAGTTGTGTTTGGTCTCTTTGCTAAAGGCAAAGCTAAAAAGAGGTTTGATGGCTAGTACTGTGGCTGGAAACCTCTATGTACTGTTGATGAAGTTCGGTGCTGTTCTGAGCATTATTTGTGGCTATAGAGTGGCATTTTAGTTGAGGTTTGTGCTTGGAGACGTAGACCACTGTGTATTGCTATCATGCAGTCATTACTAAAGTTGGTATAACTACAGAAGCAAGCGGTTGGCAACATTCATCTCTAACTTAAATTTATGCCGCAACACCGAGTTAACAACCAATCAGAAACGTGACCTCACGAGACCTTGTAGAAGAAAGAACCTTTTATATTATGGATCCAGTTGTAACATTACAGGAATAAAGTCATAATTCCATGAGAATGACTATGTAAAGAAAAAAGGAGTTTGATTACAGCAATAAATATTTAATTTAACAAGTATAAATTTGTGACAATGAAGTTTAAGTTAACAGATAAAGAAATATTTTTGGAAATACAACTCTTTTAATTTGTCAGGTGAAGAAATAAAACATCTTTCGTCTGTTTAAATCTTGACATTTACCTCTCAATTCTGACCTGTAGTTTTTCACAGGTCTTTAAAATTGGTCTCCCGTGTGAACCTTATTGACTCAGCCACCGCTCCCCGTGGCAATCCCAACCAAGACTTTATTGACAACTTCACTCTGAGAAATTGCTCTAGGCCAGCAATATTGGAGTAGAAAGGTTTCAATTGGATTTAGAGGGAAAAAAAAACCTGTCACGTTTCATGCAGGCTGCCAAAAGAAACCATGTGCATCTGTACCTAACCCTGACAGCCACCATGAAGCATCTGTAGATGATGACTTAAGGACGAGAGGAGTCTCATACAAATAATCTAATTAATTACTCAGTTAGGTCAGGTCTAATTATGGCATCACAGCTGAGAAACATTTAATTGGTGAGTCATAAATTTAGAGCCATTCTCAGAGGAGTCAAATGGATCACATGCATAGAATTAAAGTGTCTATATTGCACTGTAAATACTGCGATTTCATAGTAAAATGCTCTTTCATTCGGATTCTTACAGATGATATAAACTTTATTCATGACTTTATTTTGTTTTTACACAGAAAGTTAGCACTTGCTATGTTTTTGAAAAGAGTCATCTGGGGTTACTAGTGTCTCCACATTTACACGACTCAGGATGATTTGTTGCAGCTGCTGTCAGGTCGTGTTACACAGAGACCTCACTGTGAAATAGAATCTAAAACAAGAACACTTCAGCACAAAAGTAGCTGAACGCAATCACAGATTTATGAGAGCACTTGTGATTATTGTAAAATATGGACACTCTGAATGGAGGAACAACAGGAGTGAAAACACTTGAACAAGTAGCTCAGCCTCGTGAGTCACTCACAGAAGTGGGGTGGATAAATATTTCTCGCTCTTTAATTGGTTTGTTGGTGTAACAGTGACTCAGATGTCCTGGCACCCTGAGGATATGATTACTTGTGTTTGAATGTGTGTATCTGGATGTGTAGTTGTGCGTGTTTCAGAGAGGAATAATGGTGATGAGACTGAACAAATGTGCTGAATTTATTTCGACAGCCCAGAACGACAAGGAAAGATACAGCGAGTATTTCTTGAAAATCATTTTTGTCTACACCAGGATGTTGATGTTCTGCTTGGTGAAAAGAGAACAAGATTGTGTGTGTTT